TCATAGACTAGGATACCTACGTGCATTCCCGCTTGATTCCTTGCTTACTTGTTCTCCCTAATCCCTTAGGTTGTTAAAGCATCTAGATGATAATGCTCCCAAGCTTGAGTCCTATTTCTTTATTTTGTGTTTATCTTTGTGTATATGTGTTAGTCTTATCATTTCCTTAAACTTGTAGTTTGCTTAGCTTCTTGTTGATTGCCTAGTGCTAGTGCCTAGTTTCTTGTGATTGCGTATTGCGTGCCATATCCCCCAATCCCCCGAGGACGACATAACACACCCGTACACTCACCACATCTCATTTTTGCTACAATCACTTACACGAGTTTAACATCTCGTTACTTGCCAAGCAAGGTTGGCGTATTCTAACCACACCTCATTCTCTGGTTAGTCAATTATTGAAAGCAAAATATTTTCCAAAATGCTGTTTTATAGAAGCTGCGCTCGGGAACAATTGGAGTTACATGTGGCGCAGTATCCTAGCGGGACAAAGTGTTCTAAAGGAAGGCTTAGCAAGACGGATTGGGGATGGCAGGAGCACAAGAATTTGGGGATGGCCTTGGATGGCTGATCCCGCTAATCCCGCCCTTAATTCTATGCCTCCGGATTACTTACAGGATGCTACGGTAAACGGTCTCATGGATGCGCATGGCCAGTGGGATGTAGAGGTGTTACGGGACCTCTTCGATGAAGCCGAGGTTCGACGGATTATTGCCACCCCAGTTGCTAATCATTTACCTGATTCGTGGCGATGGGTGGGAGATATACGTGGAGAGTACACAGTGAAACATGGTTATAAACTCCTAACATCGAGTTCTACAGTGAGTAGCACCCCTGGAAATTTTGCCGCATGGGACAAATTGTGGAAACTTCCAGTCCCACCCAAAGTACGTCATCTGCTTTGGCGTTGTACTCGGGGAATATTACCGGTGCGGGAAAATCTCAAGCTCAAGAACATTTGGATTGGGGGAGGTTGTCCACTATGCACGTATGATTCGGAAACTGCAGAACATCTTTTTGGAGGGTGTTGTTTTGCTCGGCAGCTGTGGAAGAGAGACGAAGGGCTGCAAGATAGGACGGTCCAAGCATACATGGAAGAGCTGGTTAACGGTACGTGTACAAATAAGAATATACGAATGGCTGCGGTGTTGTGGATGATCTGGCAAGCACGGAACGACAGAGTTTGGAGGAACAAGGTATAGACAGCGGAGGCGATGCACAACCAGATTGAGCTGCTGATAGCTACCTGGACCGAGAATTATAAACGGGAGATCACTGTTGATCAAATTAGAGATGATGATGCGACGTGGGAACCGCCAGCGCCAAACTGGGTGAAGTGCAACGTTGACGCGGCGCTCTCGTCCGTTGGGGTAGCCTTTGGGGCGGTAATTCGTGATCATATGGGGCGCTTTGTGGCAGCAAGGAACGGATGGTTGACCTGCTACCGTGATCCGTTAATGGCAGAGGCTTGCGCAGTAATGAAGAGTTTAGATTGGCTGCACAGTTTGGGCCATAACCAGTTGATTGTTGAATCTGATTGTTTAGTTTTTTGTAACGCGTTTAATTCATGCAATTTATATTTGTCTTGTGTTGATTTAATTGTGAAGCAATGTAAACAAATTGCTAGCGACATGGGGGACGTTGTGGTCCGCCATGTTAGGAGATCAGCGAATCGTGTGGCTCATGTTCTTGCACAGGCAACCGATTCTTCGTCTGACTTAGGCTCTTGGTCCGATGTACCACCTGATTGTATTTCAAGCCTATTGGCTCAGTAATGTTATTTCTTTTGGTTTTTCAAAATATATATATATATATATATATATATATATATATATATATATATATATATATATATATATATATATATGGTGGATGGTGGAAGTATTGTATATCTGCTTCATTACCTTATATGGTAATATCATTGAATTTCTAATATTCTCCCTTTTCATTGTAAATGCATATTCATGCATATTCGTGAGTTCACCACCATTTCAACCATCTTTTATTTCCTTTTAAAAAAAAAAAAAAAAAAAAAAAAACCCATCTTTTATTTTATTTCAAAGTAAATAAATTATAATTTAATTGTGATTATTTATATTATATATTGTACCAAGACTATGTGGTCTAATGGTATCCGGGTCGGACTTCCATTTGGATGGTTATATATGAGTTCGAGCCTCAGTGAAGGCGTTATTGGTTCTTTGTGTTTCAGTAGGTTGAGAAAGTATATGAACAGATATTACAATATAATAGGGCCAGTAACATTAAAAAAAAAATTATATTATATATTGTAATCAATGTGCTGCAGACTAAAATAAACCAAATTGAAAAAAAGATAATACAAATAAAGAAAGTCAATTATAGACATGTGTTTACCATAAACACTTGCCTTGCGAACATGTGCGAGCTGAGGTGCAAGTTGTGACTCTCATGACTCATGAGGCATTTTTGTTTTGATTTTTTTTTAAAATTATTAACATGCCATATTTTGGTTAGGTGACCACAAAATATTCTATGTAAATTGTAGGAGACACCATTAAACACAATCGTTATGCTATGGACCCGTGTCCAACATGCATGCTGGACACGTGTAACAGGAGGCACTGTTATCTTTTCTTTTTTTTTTTTTTTTTTTTAAAAAAAAAAAAAAACTTTCAGACCGCTTCGTTATAGGAGTATATGTTCATAATTTTATTACTATATGTTAATAACTGTACATTCATAACTCCATAATTGTACGTTCATAACTCTATAACTGTACATTCATAACTCCATAATTGTACATTCATAATTTTCGAAGCTCTATGTTCACAATTTTAGAGCTCTATGTTCATAATTTTATCACTATATGTTCATAATTGTAAGTTCATAATGTCAGAGTTCTTTGTTCATAATTCGATCAATAACTGTACATTCATAATTTCATAATTGTAGATTCATAATCTCATAACTGTAGATTCATAACTCCATAACTGTAGATTCATAACTCCATAACTGTAGATTCATAATCATCGAAGCTCTATATTCACAATTTTAAAGTTCCATGGTCATAATTTTATCACTATATGTTCATAATTGTAAGTTCATAATATTAGAGCTCTGTGTTCATAATTTCATAATTGCATAACTGTACATTCATAACGGCATAACTGTATATTCATAATCCAAAAAAAAAAAAAAAAAAAAAACAACGCCGTTAACGACAAAACACGCACATTTTTTTTTTAATAACTAAATGACGCGTTTTTTTGAAAAACGACGTCGTTTTGGGCCCGTGTCCACAATGAATTATGAACACGAGTCCAGGACATAATTTGCCCATTAAAGATACACCATACTCAACTAATTATCGTTCACACTTAATGGATCTAATTAAAATACAAAGTGTTGACTATATTGTTTTTTCCAATCAAATGTAGCCATTTAATAGAAAACAAAAGAGATTCGTTCCATGAATAACTATTAAATTCTTTTCTCTCTCCTCATCCAATAATTATACAACCAATGACTTTTTTCTTTCTTTCTTAAATGTTTAATTTTGATTAGTTGAATATATATGTACAATCCTATATATCTCTATATTTGAGATCATCTCACATAAGTTCAAATTTTTATATAAATATGGGTGTTAGTAAACATAGCTTTCGATAAACTACTTGTGATTGTACTGTTCAGTAAGTGTTCGTTTAGTAAGGTAAACGAAAATAAATGAACAAATTTTAGAGCTCGTTTGAACATTTGTAGGCTCGTTTGCTAAGAGCTCATGAACAGACAAGGTCGTTAGTGTTTGTTTAATAATCTTCATGAACAAGCTTCAACTTGTTAAGTGTTCGTTTAATAACGTTCAAGAAAATGTTTGTTTAAGATTGTTCACGAACAAATTTATTTAAATATAATTTTTTTATTTTATTGGAATAAAGGTCAAATATGTCATCTAACTACACACCAAAATGCAATTAGGCCACCGAATTAAAAAAAAAATACAATTAGATTCCTGAAGAACGCGAATTCATGCAATTTAATGCAAAATGACTTGTTTACTTGTTAATATGGTGAACAACGCAAATTCATGCAATTTAATGTAAAATGACGTGTTGTTAATTTTTAAAATTTTATTTTAATAATTATAAATAAAATAATTATTTTAAATTAGAAAAACAAAAAAACAAAAAACAAAAAACAACCCCCATTATTGTCGGAGACAAAGGGGACCCTTCGTCTCCGACCAGCCAGCCATAGAGACAAAGGGTCCCCTTAGTCTCCGATCACCATGGAGCTGAGACAAAGGGGATTGTCTCCATGGCTGGCGGGAGACGAAGGAGGCTCGGCCATGGAGACGAAAGGCTCTGTTCGGAAGGAGCTTTGCTAATAGGATGAAAGAAAGAATAAAATATAAAAAGAATATTTCTTGTTCACGGACAAATTATGATCATGAATATGTATATGTATTTGTTTATTTAGTGTTTATGAATGTGTTCACAAACGTTAATAAACATGTTGGCAAACTTCTTTACAAACGTACGTTAACGAATGGTGTACGTGAACGTGTTCGTTAAGGTTAACAAACACTAATGAACGCTTAACAAGCAAACACGAACAATATTCTCATAAAACTTAACAAACAAAAACAACGTAACCTCTGTCCATTAATATTCAGTTCGTTAACAGCCCTATATATATAAATAAATTTGCTTATAAAACCAAATACTAATCAGCCTGATCATAACGTATTAAATTAAAATTTGTTTGAACACCTCCTCGATCAGTATGTATGACTATACAAATAATTTTAATACAACGAGTTGCAGATCGAAAGCTAAGCCACCTAAAAAACGCTATCTTGGGATTATTATATTGCACGCCGTGGCTTAAGGCAATTCCAAATTGATATTATTGTCACTGCCAACCTTCACTCAAACATTACACACAAATTAATTACAGTGAGGAAAAAAAAGCAAGGAATTGAATTCCATTACACACAGATCAGATCAGAGAGAAGTATGGCTTGTGTGGGTGTAAATTCTCTGATGAGGACAATAGAGATTGAGTTCTTTCAATCTCGTCCTCGTCCAATTCTACAAGAAAAAAAACTCATCTCTTTTAACAAACAGTTGATTGAATCTCTGCATGAAAAGCTTGGATCTGTGTTGGGAGAGCTGGATGATGAGAAAAGAATTGATGGCCACTTGGAAACACAACTCAGAGATGTGGTTTTCAGAGTAGAAGATGAAATTGAGCAACAAGTAGCAGATCTTTATGTGAAGAGGCCCCAGGAGGATAGTGATGATGTGGTGCCTTATCTCAAACTTCATCATCTTTTGGAACAAGCAATAGAAGACATTGATGCCATCAAGGAAGAGTTGGAGAAAGTGAAGATGGAGGGCAAGCAGCATCTGCAGCAGGGAAGAGAGAACAAAGATGAAGTCTTCATGAAGGGAAATGGAAATTCCTCCCTTCCACACTCCAAGGACATAATGGTTGGAAAAAACAATGACTTCCATAAGGTAATGGAGATGCTAATTCAATCTTCATCTGAAAAGGAATTAGAAGTTGTCTCAATTGAAGGCATGGGAGGCATTGGCAAGACAACTTTAGCCAAACGAGTTTACGACGATCCGCTTGTGCGTTCTTACTTTGACAGGCAAGCGTGGGCTGTTTCGTCGCAACTCCACAATAAGAGACAAATGCTCATAAGTCTTCTTGATTCAATGGGCATCAAAGAAGGCGACAATGATAAGTTGATCGAACAAGGCGAGGATGATAAGGTCTCAAAATTAGCATCACAAGTCCAAAAAGCTTTCAAGGGTCAAAGATACTTGGTTGTGATGGATGATGTATGGAGTGGAGATGCATGGGATGCTATCAAAGGTTGCTTTCCCAATGAAGACTATGGTAGTCGAATATTGTTGACTACTCGCCATGCTGAGGTGGTTAATTATACTTGTTCCAAAAATAAATTTTCTCATCAAATGGAGTTGTTAGATCAAAGTGAAAGTTGGAGTCTATTTTGTGAGAAGGCAGGTAGATCATCATGCAGTGTTGAATTTGAGATGATTGCGGCACCGATTGTGGAGAGATGCAAAGGGTTGCCTTTGGCAATTGCTGTGGTTGGAGGTCTATTTTCGAGACTCGACAGACTAGACGAGTGGAAGAACATTGCTGAATCTCTAAATCCACTAGCAACAACCACGGTGCACGAAGAATGCTCAAAAATACTCTCATTGAGCTACAATTACCTGCCTTACAACTTAAAAGCTTGTTTCTTATACTTGGGAGTTTTTCCAGAAGATCATGAGATCAATGCTTATGATCTTGCAAGGTTATGGTGCGCGGAAGGACTTGTAAAAACACTTGAGGATGAGAGCTTTGACGTGGTGGCTAAAAGGTACATACAAGAACTTGTGGACAGAAACCTAATTCTTGTAAGTCAACAAAGTTGTTGCACAAGAAAAATTAAGGCTTTTAGGGTGCACGATATATTGCATACCTTTTGTGTCAAAGAAGCTCAAAACGAAAACCTTCTTCATGTTGTCCATGAAAATGGCTCCAACAATAATTTCCCTGAAAAAGGTTTCCGTTGGTTGAGCATCCAATCATCAATAGATGATTTCGACATGGAGACTTGTTCAAAAAGCTGTAGATCCATCTTCTATTTTATGGAAGACAATGCTGCTGAATCTTTAGATTTTGATCATTTCAATCTTTTGAGAATAGTGTACTCTACTAAGCACCAGCTGAGCAAGAATCCTGTGCATCTTGTCCATTTAAGATACTTATCCGAGGCAGGCGAAGAAGATGTGAACAGCTCAGAACAGTTGAGGGCCTGGAATATTCAAACGCTTCATATTCGTTCAGATTATGGAAGAAACTATTTGCGGTTTCCACAAGTGCATTATTTGAAGTGTGAGAAATTTAGTCGTGGAATAAAGTATCATCGTCTTCCCAAATTTGTAAACCAAAAATTGCACAGCATTTCTTGGCTGACCCATTATGAATGCACAGAAGGTTTCTTTAAAAGGTTTCCATCCCTAAAGGCGGCACGGATCAGAGGCGACACGGGAGAATGCAATGGTTGCATTGATAAGCTTATTGTGGATGCACCGCAGCTTGAGACACTGTATATTGACAGTGATCGAGTGCAAGCGAATCCACAAAAGGCTCCCATTAATGATCATATTGTTCTCTTGAAAAGGCTTAAGAAGTTGACAATTCGACTTATGAGATTTGAGTGGAAGGGAATTCGTGTTCTTTGCAAGTTGCCGAGCCTGGAAGTACTCAAGTTGAAGACTTTTGGCTGCGTAGGCAAGAAGTGGAAAATGGAAAAGGATGAGAAATTCTGCGAGTTAATTTATTTGGAGATTGGTAGAACTAACCTGGTTCATTGGACAGCTTACAGTAGCAATTTTCCAAAACTAGAGCACCTGAGGCTTTCGTTTTGTGAGACATTGGAAGAGATTCCAGTGAAGTTTGAGGACATCTATACGTTGAAGTCAATCAAACTAACAAATTGTCATCCTTCTGCTGTAAATTCAGCCCAGGAAATTGAGGAAAAGAAACGTAATATCGGATACGATGATATGAAGGTGGATGTGATCTCACTAGGGCCAGATGAATTTGCGTCCAATGAAGATGCGTTATGGACCTATATGTTTTGATTTGATGAGCCGATCCAACTCCAGTTTTACCAAAAAAATGGTATGTTTAATTTAATTTGCATTGCTTATATATCCTACTTAGCTTTAATGGTATGTTTAATCTTCTGACTTCTGGTGTTTTTCTTTAATGCATATATATATATACCTACAGATATACTGAAACTGAGTTAAGAAGAAGATCAGTGAAGGAGCAGCTCAGTGGGTGATGATTTAATAATCTATTTGAATTATATTCTTCCAGCATATGCATGTAATGTGTCCTCGATGCATGAGTTCTTGAATCTTGATAGATCAGATATGCTCAGCAATACTTTAATTATTTACTATTTTATTCATGGTTTGTACTGTATTGTAATCTATTATCTATCCTTTGGAACCTTGAACATATCTATCTGCTATGCATGCACTTCTTTAAACAATTATTAGTATCTCTTTAATTTGTGAATTGTCTTTTCTTTCATATATATGCTCGGTGGAAAAACATATACCTATTGAGTATTGATAGATGTTGGTCAGGTTTTGCTTTCTTTCTCATATAGTCATATATGTTTGATATGATAATATATATATATATATATATATATATATATATATATATATATATATATAATTGCACTCAGGTGCGAATGTTTCGCCCAGCGAAATAGGAATGGATTCTGTCCGTCCACGTGTCCAGATCTAATGGATGAGAAACACTGATTTTTTTAAAAAGCGGGGTGGCATTTTTGTAAATAATTGGACATCGAAATGCAAGTAAAATGTATTACAAGTGCATGTAAAATGTATTATAGGTGCAAGTAAAAATTTACACTGAGCATCAATACTAAGTGCACCTATAGTTATAAGTAGTTGCACCTATAGTTCTAAGTAGTTGCACACATAGTTATAATTAGTTGCACCTAGGTGCATGAATGTTTGCGGGTGGTTTTCAGGGGTATTACTACCGGCTAAACACAGATCAATAAATGTTAAGAAGGCAAAATTACATGCACTTATAGGTTAAAGTAGGTGCACCTATAGTTATAAGTAGTTGCATCTATAGTTATAAATAGTTGCACCTATAGTTATAAACACACCCAGGTGCATGAATGTTTGCAGGAAGTGAATGCTAACAAGACAAAATTACATGCACTTATAGGTGAAAGTAGATGCACTTGTAAGTGATTTTACTTGCACTTCGATGTTCAATTATTTACGAAAATGTCACCGCGTTTTTAAGCTATTGACTACATAACTTCAGAAAAAAGCATTATTCTGAATGTACTGTCGGCCACGGTTGACTTTCCGACATGTAAATCTATCAGAATGTCACGAATAGTCGATAAGACAGGAGAAAGGACTCTGGCTGTGGTGACTAAATCTGATTTAGCTCTGTTGGAGATAATGAACCACAATCGATTTAATATCCGTAAAATAATATTTATATATATACACACGAAATATATATAAAATATTATTGGATATATATCTGAAATATATATATACACACAAATATATATATAACGGACCCAACGGTTATATATACATGTATATCTACGAAAAAGATATACCAATATATATCAACCAAAAAGAAAATATAATCCTTAGATTATAATTCCAAAACAACAAGAAAGAACAGATTTTTGCTTAGAGCATAATCCAAAACAAGAAAGAAGAAGAAAGAAAGAAATGTACGAGTTAGGCAAAGTGCCTGTCTTTCCTTAAAACCTTATTTGCCACCTCCCAAAAGTGCTAGGAGCGTTGTGGCCTAGGTTTCCCAGGATAAAACGTACAACGGTTCGACGTTTGAGCACCCAAACGAACGAACCCGGCGAACTAGAGCACGGGCAAAACACAGTAGCTAGAAAGAAGTAGGAGTAGAGTTTTGAGAAGAAAATGTGCTTATCTTTGTGTGTTGTGTCTCTCTTGTTCTTCCCTCACGTTCACTTCCTTTCTAACATTGTGTTCAAAAAGGTTGCTCTCACCACATCTTTATATAGGAGATTGGTACTAAATAGCATCATCATGACACATTAACCAACATAAATTCAATTTAAAAATTGAATTATAACGTTTGAAACGGTCGTACTTATTATCGAAATAATATCAACGGTCACGAACTTAATATCCGTTTCAAATATCTGAGTGACCGAGAAGTCCGTACAAACCCGAAAGGTTAACGAATTGGGACCGAAAACCACACCCGAATGGTCCGCAAAGTACCGAAACGGTGTGGCACGAATCAATGCACATAGCATTGACTCGTGCAGCACGAAAGATAGCTCACACAAAAGGAGCTTAATTCACTAATTAAACTTGCTTAATTACATGTAGCATCTTTCGTCCATGCATAACATTCGTCCATGCAAACTTTCGTCCCAATTCCTGTTTCACTATTTTAAGCTTTCCAAAGCTTAATCACAAGCTTGACAACTCATGTTGTCACACTAATTAGGCTTAATTAAGCTTAATCTTAAGCTTTAAGCTTTCTAAGCTTAATTTGACTTCTCTCAAATAGGTTCACTTTGAGAATCAATTTCTCATTCACCTATTACCCATTTTGAGCGTACATTATATCAAATTCTTCGTCTCACTACGAAGAACCCGAATCCACCTTGACCCGACCCAAATCGGAAGTGGATCCCACATATATTTGTACCACAAAATAATCACTCAAAATATCATTTTAATGCTATTTTTCCAACAATCCCCCACATGAATGAAAAATGATTTTCAGGGTATTTTAAAATCGGAAACAACTGTGTTTAACGGTCGATCCCTGCATAGGATAGGTAGGGATCACTATACCCTTTGAACCTTCCCTTGTGAAGACATGTTTACTCTACTGGCTGTACGGTAGAACGCGATGTCTTTGAACCGACTGCCGTTTGTGTAGACGATGACATATCTCACACAGGAACCTCCCAACCATGCTCTGTTCTCATTAGTGTGCCCATTTTGGTCGTGGGTCACCGTCCTGGTTCTGCAAGAGTTTGTGAAGAATTGCGCCCATCAATTCTCCTTTGAAGCGACCCTCACTTCTCTCTCACATAGGTGATTCTTTTCCGAGTATCCCGCATACTCACACATGTCAACCGACATTCGAATCATTAAAGCATCAACATGCTAACCTTACGCGGGAGTCACTATTTCTAACGAGGAGTGGTAGGGAGTCCGAGACCCCCACAGTGACATGCTCCGTTCCATAATTTAGTTGTCCCATTGAACCTAGGTGTCAGCTAGGTTGGGTATCCACTATAGAACTTTAAGTCCAAGGGCTTTAGACCCATTCCTCGTTCCAATTTCTCCACAACCATTTGCTTACCCTCGGGTTAGCGAGTTAGCGGCCGCTATGTTATCTTTTGACATCACGTAGTCAATAGAGATAACTCCCGTTGTGAGAAATTGTTTAATGGTATTATATCTACGACTTATAAGTCTAGACTTACCATTCCACATTTAACTCTGTACTTAACCAATTTTGGCTTGACTATCGCAATGCACACAAATTGGAGGTACGAGTTCACCACTAGGAACATTCTCGAAATAATGGCATAGCCATTCGGCCTACTCGCTCGCGACACGAGTGTAAGGCTCTCAGCTTTGATCCCGTCGGATCTTAGCTATCACAAATTCATTTCGAGAATTTCCGTCCAACCGACTGCACTGGCCTACATAAGGACGTAGCCTTTAATGGACTTAGTATCCTTTGATATCCGTGCTATATTTTCCAAGTACAGCTAGATATCTCACTTAGTGCAGTCCAACGTCGTGAGCATACCTTGAGTATCTCATAACTTTCACTATTGCCTTCTAGTGCATAACACTAGGGTTACTCGTATGTCACCGAGTTCGTTAACCACTAAGGCAATATCCGGCCTAGTACAACCCATTTGATACAATTAAACTACCGATAATCTGAATGTATTCTCCGTGAGAAGTACAATCTCCGAGATTATTGGCTAGTTGTACGTTAGTATCTAACGGTGTCCAAGCCACTTGATTAACATCCTTTGCAAGGATTTAATCAACACAGTGAGATTGGCTCAACACGAGACCATACAGTCTTCTCACAATTTTAATCCCGATGATTAAATCTGCCAACCCCATGTCAAATATCAAATTTAACATGTTCAAGGTAGAATTGATCATTTGATCGTTACTACCCACGTTGAGTTTATCGTGTATAGACAAATAGTGATAGCCTCGTCTATCGTACACATTACGTAGACATTTATCACATTTGTTTATACTAAACTCGTGACACATCATTGTATGATCAAAACCTACATGCCAAATACTAAGGCAATTGTTTCAAACCATACAATGATCTCACCAATTACACATTTTCTTTCCCTAGCGTGGAACCACAAAACCCTCGGGTTGTTCCTTGTCTATTAAGAAAGCGATACATCCATTTCGATAAACTTCCAAGTCTCGCTAAACAGCTCTTGGAAGTATCGTCCTAATGAATTTCGTTCTCATCACAAGAGAATATATATTGAAGTAATTGTGGCACTAGCGTCGCATGTAATCTAAAATTACAAGCCCGGCCATTTTACTCCAATATAACCAACCGATTTTATCTTCCGACTAGTGATCCACTTAGGATCCCGAGGTTTTACAACCTGGAGGAAGAACAACCAGTTCCAAGTATGATTCTTTTAAGATAGAATCTACTTCACTCTCGGTAGCCTCTCTCGGGTTGGTCCATTTGTAAAAGTCACCACTTCTACATATGTTCGAGGCTTGTTTTCTAACAACCTTGTCAGAAAATCCAAATTATTTTCTAGTATGCAAGTTAGAATATGCGCACCACATTCTAACACGTACGTCAGAAAATATGGACCAAAGGATTTTTCAATCCTAGCTCTCTTACTACGTTTAGCTTTGAGCTCGGGTTATCTTTCATACCCTTCAACCACAGCTAAGCCGAAAGTTCCTTTCAACGTGCTAGGTCCTTTATTGAACCTTCACAGAAATGCATCTTCTAAAGAACGATGAATTTCTTGATTCAATTTATTGTGTTCTTATGTACATCCAGAGCGTAGGACTCGTGTACTAAGAACCAAAACGCCTTTGGCAAGACACCCCCACATTTCAGGCATTAGTAGGAAAATTTCCTACGTACCCACAATTCGTAAGAATTTCATGCGGGTAACCTTATTTAAAAGGTACTTACTGGTCCAAAGTATTGTCTCACCTCACATACTTTGAGGTAGACCCGAACTTATCAACGTCTTGATATTCATGTTCGGCAACAACGTTCGATTGAGGTGAATACTGTACCGTACTCTCGAGTACAATACCAATGCTTGCGCCGAAATCACCAATAGGTGTTTCACGTTCACCACATCGATCGTTCATAACCGCATTAATCCACAATTAATTTGGTTATCCTTTTATTCTTATAAAGAATAGATATGTGCTACACGTTAGCACATCTCGTAGGTGCGAACAGATCAGCACTTACGAATCCATTCAGTTTTTGACCGAAAGGCCACAAACCCGAAACGGTGCTTAGTAGTGAAGCACGAGACATGCTACACAAAGCACGAATCATTGCTACCCAACTAACACACCGATTCTAACGCAATCTCTGTTGCTTTAAATTATAAACTTGCAGCAACATTCGGTTGCTTAATTTATAATTACAGTGCTACTTAGCACAAGGATCATTAGTTAATCACATAATTAACCAAACCTCCTTTCGTGCTAATCACATAGCACTTTTACACCGCTAAATTTAATTAGCCACATACGAAAGGTTTAAGCTAAGTAGATTAGCAATAAGACCAATCATAATCTAGCACCTTTATTGCTATTACTAAAGCACCAAATGCTTAAGTTTTCAACACCTAAAGGTGCAGCCACCAAGTGGCCGAAAGTACCTAATTAGGCACTCTACCTAGTGCTTAATAGTACTCTTATAGTGGTTTAATTTGCACTTCAAAGTGCCAAATTAAATTGCACTTTCCATTAGTGCCACAAAAGCACTATTCACTAAAACACAATTTGTCTCAAATTTAAATATACTAGTATAACTTGGAATTTTTGATCAAGTTAATTATAACACAATTAACAAAACCAAATCATCCAAATTTCCAAAACTAGTTGAACCAAACTCATATAATCGTTCTTAGAATATTATATAAAATATTCAACACTTGAGCCGTGACGCTCACGATTATATAGTTGTCCCAATTTTTGACAAATTGATCCTTGAAATCCGTATCGTTCTACATGAACCTGAACCGAAGTTCGTTACAGGATTTCAACATGTAACACGCTTGTTACATTTCATTTTGGCCGTTAAGCCATTTTAGCATTTTCCACATAATGCCCCGTGATGCACTACGCACCCATATTGAATCATTTCATACATTTGACATTATTCTAGTTAATAATTCGTATGTACCAAGATTCAACTCAATGGAACAATTATATTTTTTATTCAAATAAAAATATTCCAAGGATACTACAATATTTATTCAAAATAAATAAATAGGAAAAACTACATTGGAAACACATTTCCTTATTCCTATCTCGTAGTAGTCCTTCAACCCGTGTGCTTTGTTCCATTCTCAACCGTCCACTCCACAAAGGGTGGTCCATAGCGCACATCGGGGGTACCTCGGTTGTGACCTCACTCGTCCAACCATCCACATGTTTTGAACATAGCGAAATTGTCCTCAACCTTTTCACCAGGATGACGGTTCGCTTCGTAGTGGCATTTCTCCTTCTTCTCATAATCTTCTTGAAAGCTAAGCTTCCGCTTGAGTTTCCTTCGATTACGGTTGAAGTCATTGGTAACACTACCATAGTCCTCCGACCATGTAGTCATTACACCATCATAGGATCCTTCGTGGCTTTTAGCCGATCCGTTAGGCAACACAATAGGTACCAATTGTGTGCCATGAGCCACAGGTCTACCGGATCGTGAACCAACGTTCCCCGGAGCACCATCGTGTGTTTTTGCAACTCCCATGGAAACAACATTTCCAACGTTGCTGCCGACAACCGGCATCACGGAATGTGCAACATCGTTGTCGTTCCTACCATTTGAATGTGCACCTCCGGCAACATTCACGGATCCAATACTCTTGGAATCCACCGACTTGTTCATTATCAAAATAAATAAGGTTTTAAGATTGTTGGAGATAATGAACCACAATCGATTTAATATCCGTAAAATAATATTTATATATATACACACGAAATATATATAAAATATTATTGGATATATATCTGAAATATATATATACACACAAATATATATAAAACGGACCCAACGGTTATATATACATGTATATCTACGAAAAAGATATACCAATATATATCAACCAAAAAGAAAATATAATCCTTAGATTATAATTCCAAAACAACAAGAAAGAACAGATTTTTGCTTAGAGCATAATCCAAAACAAGAAAGAAGAAGAAAGAAAGAAATGTACGAGTTAGGCAAAGTGCCTGTCTTTCCTTAAAACCTTATTTGCCACCTCCCAAAAGTGCTAGGAGCGTTGTGGCCTAGGTTTCCCAGGATAAAACGTACAACGGTTCGACGTTTGAGCACCCAAACGAACGAACCCGGCGAACTAGAGCACGGGCAAAACACAGTAGCTAGAAAGAAGTAGGAGTAGAGTTTTGAGAAGAAAATGTGCTTATCTTTGTGTGTTGTGTCTCTCTTGTTCTTCCCTCACGTTCACTTCCTTTCTAACATTGTGTTCAAAAAGGTTGCTCTCACCACATCTTTATATAGGAGATTGGTACTAAATAGCATCATCATGACACATTAACCAACATAAATTCAATTTAAAAATTGAATTATAACGTTTGAAACGGTCGTACTTATTATCGAAATAATATCAACGGTCACGAACTTAATATCCGTTTCAAATATCTGAGTGACCGAGAAGTCCGTACAAACCCGAAAGGTTAACGAATTGGGACCGAAAACCACACCCGAATGGTCCGCAAAGTACCGAAACGGTGTGGCACGAATCAATGCACATAGCATTGACTCGTGCAGCACGAAAGATAGCTCACACAAAAGGAGCTTAATTCACTAATTAAACTTGCTTAATTACATGTAGCATCTTTCGTCCATGCATAACATTCGTCCATGCAAACTTTCGTCCCAATTCCTGTTTCACTATTTTAAGCTTTCCAAAGCTTAATCACAAGCTTGACAACTCATGTTGTCACACTAATTAGGCTTAATTAAGCTTAATCTTAAGCTTTAAGCTTTCTAAGCTTAATTTGACTTCTCTCAAATAGGTTCACTTTGAGAATCAATTTCTCATTCACCTATTACCCATTTTGAGCGTACATTATATCAAATTCTTCGTCTCACTACGAAGAACCCGAATCCACCTTGACCCGACCCAAATCGGAAGTGGATCCCACATATATTTGTACCACAAAATAATCACTCAAAATATCATTTTAATGCTATTTTTCCAACAAGCTCCACAAGGCTTTCTTGAGAAAGTGACAGCTGATGAGGTGAAAATTGGGCTGGGATATGTTTGTGTTAGGAACAGAATCGGCTCTGAATCCTTCCAATATGCAAGGAATGAAGAAGCTAATCTCTTTCAAACCCATCCTCTCTTGTCCAGGATTAACAAATCCATGGTTACAAGAAGCTAGTCCCGGTTTTGGCCGACAAGTTGGTGAGGATCCAGGAAAGTATCATCTCGAAATGTTTGCCCGACATTGTTAAGAAAATCAAGGAAAAGCTTGCTACTAATCTGGCTGATTTGAACAGGCTCCCTCCAACTCTAACATCTATGGCTGAAGTTTTAACTGCATTAGTGCGGATTCTGAACTCTTCCAAGAATTCGTTGAGGAAAATTCTGGTGACAGGGGACTTTGAAGAGTATTCTGAAGAGACAGATATGCACTGCACTATAAAGTTGATGGAAATGCTCAATCAATACACTGCTGGATTTAAATCGGGAAGTCTCGAAAACAATGGCACTTTCTTGATGGATGAAATTGCAGAACTTGAAACTGGTTATAGAAATTTCCTGCCTCATCGTGTTCTTTTGTGTATGCTACAGGGAAGGCTCAACAAAGTTTCTGTTATTCTAGTGAAACTGGTGGGGGAGATGTGGGATTATATCGAAGCAGTCGTGATCAGAGTACTTGTGCATCATGCCGAGAATTGCCCACAACTCCAGTCTTGCACGAGGCGAGCTGCAGAAAATTTGATCACCAAAAAGAAAGAGGAATCGATTAATTGGGTGATGCAGATGATTGGAATGGAGAAGTTTGGAGGTTATACCTGTAATCCTGACTACCTCGCGACCTATAATAATCTCATGCGCAAGCAAGGAGAGTTGATTGAAAGGATTTTTGGCAATTCTCGGTATGATTATCATTTCCAAATCATTGAAATTGGGGCTAATGCAATCCAACTTGGGCATCTTAGAAGTCATCAGCAAGATATGGTGAAACAAGCTTTCGATATAAAGATGAGAATGGTGGCTTACTGGAAGATTGTCCAAATGAGGCTTGTGGATAGCATGGCTTTGCACATCCTATTCCAATGTCAAAAGCTAGTGGATGTGGAGATGGAAGAGGAAGTTGTAAAGGATCTATCGGCACCTCATAATGGAGGCATCGAGAGGATGCTAGACGAACCGCCTATAGTTGCAGAGAAACGTCAATGCTTGAGCAAAAGTGTCGAGGTGCTCGAGGAATCGAGGGATGTCGTGGCCAAGATCATGGACAGAATTACACTCGGTGATGAGTAAGGAATATAATCTTGTTTTGTTTTGTTTCTGAAATGAACCTATGTAGTTTGATGCATATCATGTGTGTGCTTTGGTTAAACTTGTTTTGGTTGTTGATGCTAATGGTTATGGTGTTGGCCACTTAAGCTGTGAAAAATCTGCAAATAAGCACAAGTACTAACATAAAACTAACCATATAACTTTTGTTAAAATAAAAAAGAATTTGTGTGACCTTTTAATACAATTCAGTTAGAAGGAGTATGTTAATGAGAAAAGTATTTTGCATATCCAGGTTGCATATGCATTAGAGTATTACAACAATGAATATTTGTAGTTTGTAGTTTTGCAATTCTAATGATGTATGTCATCGTTACATATTCAATTCATTGTTGTAATACTCTAATGCATATACTAAGATTGGAAAGAAAGTCAAGTCTATTGATATGTGTAGATTGATGTAATATACTATCTTGTATGTATTAATATGTGTAGATTATAGCCTTGGCCCAACATTTTACTAATACACTCTATTCTTCCAATAATATAATATAAATAAATTCTAAATTCAAAAAAAATAAAACTATCATGGCAAAAACATAAGAAGGAAGATAAAAAGAATTAAAAGAGCATACTTGATAGTAGCCAGCCCAGAATGGTTGTATGAGGACCGGAGAGGAACCCCAAGTTGAAGAATGTAATCAATTCTCTCAGAGGATAGAAAGAGCAATCATTATTGTGTGGACCATGGTCCACATAAGTTGTGTGAACTATATTTTGTATACTGTAAAACAATGTACATTATATTCAGGGAATGTACATTATTTTTGTACTGAGTGTACATTATATTATATAATGTACATCCAATACAAAAATAATGTACATTTAGTATATTAAAAATGTATTTTTGTTATGGTCCACATAACATTGTGTGGACCATGGTCCAGACAATAATTTGCCTAGGACGTAAGAGTGTATTTTCAACTCTATCGTCCTGCCAGCCTAGCATCCAGGGGAGCTGTGTGTAACGCCCGTGCACCTTTGCTATACATTTTCGAGGTTTGCTACATCTTTCTAGACTTTGAGCACTTGTACATAGTTGGTAGAATATCCTAGAAGCATATATATAACACTAGGGGTAGTAGAGATATATAAAATGTTCTATAACATTAAAGAATCCTCCTACTTGTAGAGATTTTTGGAGGATTCTTAAGAGCAAATCTTAGTCATATGATAAAGTAGATCTCATCATCCATTGATGGGGTGGAATAGATATAAATACCCCTCATTGGGCTCATGTGTAAACAACCTCAACATCGCCTTCTTGGCCATCCTAATTCTAATTTGAAGTCAAATAAGGTAGTAAGTAGCAAATCAAACAGAAACTACATGCGCAACGTGCAGTTCATACAAAAGATGTATTGGGTAAAGATTTAATCCATCTTATACCTCCTTAGCATCATCCCAAAGGTGATTGTCTCCATGCTGCAATACAAATTTGCAAAATATAACTTTTAAGGTAGATTATCTAGTGTTCTTAAAATATTTTCCATGTATAGTGAAATAAAAACAAAACCAAGGGAGACAACAGCGAAAAGAGACTAAGAGAGAGGAGAAGGCGTAGTATTAGCAACATAAATAAGAATTCCATAAGGCTTTTCTCATTTTTTGACCGAGGACATTGCCTCAGGTTCTGATTCATCGGGCTCTACATCGGAGCTTCTGATTCAGCATGTTCTGATTCATCAATTTCATTGTCTAATCGAATCCGCAGATGTTATATGGAATGGTTTTCTCAACCTATTTATTTTGTAGTCTTGATATTTTAGTTCATAAAACAATTCAAATAGGTATGTGTTTTTTATTATTGTTTGTAAATGATTACATTTATTTATATGATTTTCAATAGAATATAATATAAATCATTCCAAAGAAATGGAGTTTCATGCATATTCACTACTCAATTTCTTGTTTCACTCTAACTTGCTCTGTTGGAGTTTCTATTATATATATTATATTGTTGTCTTCAGGAATTGCAATCTTTAATATTTATGGAGAAAAGTGGTTCGATTTCACAAGCTAAGACACTGTACTGAAGCTTGGATGTAGGATCAATATCGATACCATTACATTTATATTTTTCATATGAAAAACTTTTTTAGTTATGTATGAAAATTAATTACTATATATGTAGATTATTGTGTTTGAATATTGTTGAATGTTATAGTGTGACAAGTGTTAGTAACAATTGGTTTTATTTTAATAGGCAAAACGGCGTTTTTGGCCCCATCAATTGTTTTACTTTTGAAAATTTAGCCTTTGTGAATTGATTTGAACAAACCTAACCCTTTAATTGTTCATAATGTAACACATTTGGTCCCTCATGTTATATAATTAGAATTATTTTTAATAATTTATATAATTAATTTATTCAAAAATAAAAATATTTTTTGTTACAAATAAAAAAAATTAAAAAAAAAAAAAAAAAAAGAAGAACAACCACCGACTGTTCGCACCGGACAGCCAGTGACTGTCTTCTTCACGGAGACGACCATGACCGACGAAGGAAGACGGCCATGACCGTCTTCTAGATTTGGAACGAGGGCTACGACCATGGCCACCGCCCTCGTTCCAGATGGAGGGGAACAAATACAAGATTAATACTTGTGGAATATTTTAATTTATAAAGCACATTATTAATAACTCATAAAATAGTAATTGCTTTTACAGTTTCATGTCAATTATAGTGCATTTTCACAAAAACTAATATTTACAACGGAATAAGTAATAATAGTTATAAAAATACAGCATGATAATTGCAACAATAATGAATAGAATATTCATGCATTGCTTGTTTGCCACATTAGAATTGAGGTCTGACAAGATTAAAAACTACATTACACCTATACCCATAACAGTAAGAAACAACTAAACATGATATATAATGTTCACAAGAGCAATAGGTAATATTCTAAAGTTTTATACTTAATATATATTTGAAATTTTAATGACAATTTTTTTAATTTAAATTTTGGAAGTAAAACCAAGTATTATTAAATCAAATCATAAATAATTGCAAGAGGAATGACAAGCCATTTTCTAAGACTAGTCTAAAAACCCGAAGCCTTAGCTAAAGTATGTGATATATGGTTTGCTGAATGCCTAATGTGGAAAATACTGACATTGCCGGTAGAATTTACCAATGAAAGACAACTACCAAAAACAAGACTTGTATAAGCAAAATTTAAGGAACGTAATTTAAGACTGACACACATTGAGGCATTCCTGATTCGAGGAGCACATCAGAATAACCATGTTCTTTAAGCCAAGATAAAGCTTTTTTGCAGGCTAGAGCTTCCGCCAGAAATGGGTCCTGAACACACCTGAGTAACCCGTTGTTGCGAGCCGCTACAAAACTGTCATTCTCTCCCTGAATATATAATAACAATATTTAATTTAGAAACTAAATAAGATACATACAGAGTCAGTAGTATTCAAAAAACAATAATAATAAGATGGCCAGAAGTGTCAAATAGGCCCATCTACTCCTCTGTAGTGCTCAATTTACACCTTCATCTAAAATATGTTGTAATTAGGCACACTTACCCTTTAATTTTGTTCAATTAGACTTTTTTGTAGGTTACCATCCATTTTTGATGACGTGGCACGGTTACAATTACATGTCATTGATTACATGGCATTAAAATAATAAAAATAAGAAAAACAATTAGGCCAAATCTAAATTAGTAATTAACAACCTGATTTTTCCTAAAATTTATTTCTCAGTGCAGCGTCTTCCTCGACTCCTCCGCATCCTCATCCACCAGCTTCAATGTCTTCTGCAACTCCGTCTATCACAGCCTATCCTCCAGCATCTATCACTACCGCCGACGCGTCGGAGCTTCGCAATTCATTATGTCTGTCTCAAATCCTTAAAATCCGCCGTCGTCGCCGCTGCGGATTCCTCTAATATAATAACCGCTACTCTCATCGTCGCCGTCGTTGCGGCGACCGTTGCTCGAGCTCGTCTTCTACTGCCGTCATCGAGTCGACGACTTGGATATGGGAAGGCGGGCGGACGGCGTTAACGGCGGGGTGTTATTTCCTCCTGGTGTTCTTCTTCACGTCGCTGCTGGCGTCGATTTTGGCGTGGGCGGTGGGGGGCCGCCGTTGATTCTGGTGGGTGTGTTGATGATGAAGTCGCTACTGGCGTCGATTCCAACTCGAATCTCGATCTCATGCCCCCATATTCTATCGCTCCAGGGACGCTACGATGAACATCGCAGAGGGTGTTTTGCCTCACAGCTACGGAAAAGTGATTTTTTTTGAAGAAAATCCACTTTCTTCCCCCAATCCCACCTTCCCTTATCTCTCTGTGAACTTGAACTCTCTAATCTCCCATCTCTGGGTTGGGTGTTTTTCTTGTGTCAAATGGTTTATTTCTTCAGATTTTGAGTTTGCTGGTTTAGGAACTGTGGCGTTTTGAGATTTCACCATTGCCCTGCATGTGAGAGTATTTTTTCTTTTATGTATTTCCCCTTTTGGTAATATGAAGCTAAGAACATGGAAAACTGTGGGTCTTTACTGGTTTTAAAGAAATAGCAGGAACAAAAAACTGATGAAGAAGAAAATAGCGATAGTCATTGTATACTTAATTTGATTAGAAAATGCTTGCTCAGATAACAACAAATGGTGGGTGTGTTGATGATGAAGGCGGGTCGCCATTGATTCTGGTAGGTGTTGATGATGAAGGCGGTGGTGGAGGTGTCACCACAAATTTGTTTTTTTTTTTTTTTTTTTTTTTTTGTTTTGTTTTTTTTTTTTTCATTAAATTCCATGTCATTCATTTTGACTAGCAACCGGATTCAAACCTGTAAAAAATGCTATTTTAATAATTTTAAGAAGTTAATGTGCCTAATTGCAACATATTTTAGATGAAGGTGTAAATTGAGCACTACAAAGGAGTAGAAGGGTCTATTTGACACTTCTGCCTAATAAGATACATACAGAGTAATATAATAGTGTACCCCGAGTGAGTGATGTTACTTCATTTTTCAAATGCTTATGCGAATTGAGAGCAATGAATATTGAGGATTTCATATCTAGCTAACTGCTTGGTAGTTGGTAATCTTAAAATATATATAATCAAGAATCCATCCAGGAGTAAATCAACAAATTAAAATTCAACTAACCAGGCAGGGTGTGTATTATACTGCAACCGCAACATGAAAACGAATCCTTGAGGCGTTAAACATATATGCAGGAGAGACGAGCTGAGCTAGAAAGTCCTGGAGAATTTTCTTATTTCATACATGATTGAAGAAATGGAGACGAGATCCTTATTCAGTGCATTGCCACCAGCGATCCGCTTTATAGAGTCTGAAAGCCTCGTATAATACAGCAGCAGTTGAGTTAAGGCCGCTCTTAGTATGTCCATACCGCAAAGGAAATTGCTGAAAGAAGTAATGACATCATTGTGCATCAGCTCTATCGCCCCCTTCCATCGCCCTGCAAAGTCCTTGACGATAGGCTCCACCTCAGCTGCTGTTATCGGCCTTTCAGATCCAGAGCTTGGATCCTCGGCTGAGACAAAATCGTGCATCACCACAGTTCAGAACTCAGGAAATTCATGTGCAACGCCATCTTTAATGTTAAAATACTTACATCCTCTCGTCTTTACAAACTTAATAAGATCACTGAAGTGCTCCAGCAGCAACTCTTCCTGTAAGCAAAATAAAATGAGAAAAAATCAGCAACTTCAATACATTATATATATATATATATATATATATATATATATATAGAGAGAGAGAGAGAGAGAGAGAGAGAGGAGGGGGAAGGAAACCAGGAGGGATGGGGAGGGCCATGATAGGAAATGAGAGGCACAGGCCTAATCTGTGATTTGAATTCTGAGTGTATACTTGGGATCCATCTTTTCATGTGTAATTGCATCGCTTCAGTAAGTAACAGAATTTATCTCTATACTGGTGTCTTTAGTAAGATACAATTATTCAGTATATAATTACCACAAATATAGCAGTGTTGTTCTTCAGTAAATCCTCGAAATGCTGTTGAATTTTACCACCGTCTGGACCAGCTTCCTGAAACAGAGTGAAACATATATAGTAACTGCATCTCAAGTCCTAGGTGGTGGTCACTGAGGGCTTTCCTTGCAATTTACAATAGGGGGTTTAGTTGATCCACAAGACAAAGATCCTGTTTGGTAAAATAGTTCGTCTATCAGTCAATTTTAGCTTATTTTATCACTATTAGCTGTTTGTCTTGGTTAAACAACCAATATGAGTATTTGATTAATTAGCTTTTTGTAACAGCTTATTGCTCCAAAACACTAAAATTCAAAAAACTTCTTAAGGCAGCTTTTTCGATAAGCTTTTTGAGAAAGTCATTATATGTAATTAGCTATCAGCTATCAGCTATCAGCTAACAGTTAATTTACCAAACATCTTTCTATAATCAGTTAATGCTATCAACTAGTTAAACTCATTAACCCAATCAGCTAACAACTATCAGCTGTTTACCAAACACCCCCAAAGTCTAGTGAGTTGCTAAGCATTGCCCATAAAAGATGATTTGGAAAACAAGTCCAAATAATTGCTTTAAGCCTTACCTTCAAAACAGTTATCGTCATGTCATAGTTGTTTATTAGAAATACTGTCTGCTGCTTTTCTTTTTTGAACTTTTTTGCAAGCTTCACAAGCAAGTCATCAACAGCCATTCTCAGCCTCTCCATATTGAGTTCAAGCTACCAATATTAGCACATGACAATTTAATTTTAGGCCAATAATTAAACTGGAAACATTCACAAATCTTCAAGATTCTAAAGTCTTATCACCAACCTGACCATCTCCATATTCAACATTTAGATGAATAAGCGAGGCAGTAAATTCTGCATAACGTCTCATGACATAATGTGGATGAACATCATCCTCCCAGAGAGTTCTGATATTGGCATTCCGCAAGCTATTGAGGTGCAAATCAAATACCATCTTGAAACGTGGCCATAATGCAATGTTGACCTGCTCACAATTATTAAAACCACTTAAACCACACTAAAAGATTAAATCCAACGAATTAGCTAGTCTAACCCATGGCCTTATAAACTCATATATTCTCTCTTATTTTTTTCAATGTGGAATTCTTAACAGTATCATTTCTTCATCACTTCAATATGATTTATATTGGTTTTCTACTCACATTTAAGTGAAGACTAATATGCATCCTCCCATATCATAAGAACCAGGAAGTCCTTTACAGCCTAGTAAGAACTCTATTATCTGGTAAGATATAATAGCCCGAGGTCCTTCTGGATCCACATTGTTAGACGTTATACATATATATTCGGAAGGCATATATTTAGTCATTAGTATATCATGATCTTAGGCTTAAGTTTAGGGATTGATTTCCGATCCCTACCATAGTTAGTATCAAATTTTTGTATATATATGTGTATTCCTTTCTCTTAGTAAAGTGTGAAATACAGATTCATTGTTACACACATTAAGGACAGGAAAAGGATATATGTGTGACAAACTGATCAGGAAATGCATACCTTATCTAAAAACGAATCCAAGCATGGAACTCCGCGGCGAGACATTAAAAGCTGAAAGAGAAGTATAACAGTTTATAGTAAGAAACTCTGAAGTAACCTAAAACCAAATGCCACTCATGGAATCATTAATAGCGTTAAGTTCCTACAGGTAGTAACCAGCATGGTTGGCGTGAGTGGCCGTGCACTCTTGTCCCTTAAGAGAGATCGGGAGTTCGAACCCCCTCTCGTATGGAAAAACTCATCTGGCCAGCACTTTGCCCCTTAATTGGGCCAGCCCGGTGCGAACGGGGATTAGTCTGAGTATGGTACGGGCTTAAAGGTGCCTCCTATAGTTAGGGCTTGCTCAGGACACCTCGTGGTCTGACAAAAAAAAAAGTTCCTACAGGTAGTGAGGGTCTTCACCTGGTGCTGATGAATGATCCGAATCATGAGCATCAGGCCAATTGCATCAAATGAATTTGGAAGGATTGAGTTGAAGTGCTCATCAATTACAGCAAATGGACCTAGTAGTGAAATAAACTTTATCATGAATCCAGAGATTGATCACCAAACAAATATGTGAATAAAATACAATGAGATATTGACATTTCCCCATCAAGTCACTTTAAGTTTATCAACTTTCACTGAATAAAATCCATATTATAGAACTGCACTTTACAGATTGTAGTCTGAAGAATTGCCAATTTAGTGCTACCAATATTGTCTAAACTTAAGATGGATTCAGGAAAATCCCTTAAATAGTAATGACTTGTAAATATTCTCTCCAGTAATAAATATGCATGATCCTACAGGAAATTTTCTCTAAAAAAATTTATGCTTAATTAGTACCTGCAAATATATCATAAAACATAGACTCCTCCCCAGAGAAATTATCACAGAAAAGATACCTGAATGATGAGAGAGCAAATGATAAGTATAATAATATTGAGAATAAAATCACTGTTTATGATGATTGTTTAAACTCAACATGGAAGGAGAAATAGAAATGTGGAATACTCAGAAGAAGCTGTATCCAAAAGCAGTTTGTGCAAGCTCCTGAAGAGAACTTCGTAGGGATACTTTTTCGAGCTGGCTTCAGAGATATGTGGAATCAAAGGAGGTTCCTCAATTTCCTGAATATTGTCAATAGCAAAAGCATCACCTGAAGTTTCTTGTAAGCAATTATTATAAGAGAGTAACAGTTCCACTTCCGCTAAAGGCCATAAGGAAATTTTGCTTATCTTTGTATCACTTTAAGACAGTAATGACTCAAAGAAAATAAATGAAAACACAAATTCTGAAGAAGAAAAGAAATAATTAAGATACAAGTTTTAACTGTACTTTCACCTACCAACTGTCAATATTTTATAGAAGTAGAAAATGCAACCCTAAATGCAGTTCCATCTTAAATGGAATTGGTTATGATGAGCCTGATCAGAATCAGTTGCTCATTTGAACCCATTGTTCTGAAACACCTCACCCTTTTTAACCTACTTCCCATGGTTTGGAAGGGGGGGGGGGGGGGGAGAGGGGTCCTCCCTCAATTCATTTTCACCCAAAAATCAATTTGACTACTAACCAAAACCAAATATCCATACATCTTATATTGTTGTTTGAAATCCTTTTTATTGTCCTCATCCCACACTGCAAAAAATAGTAGATTATAATTTGAATACAAATCAAACTTCAGTTACCCAAATTCTTTGATATATTGATGCTAACAGCAATTGTTGCACCTATAGCACTGATAAAAGGTCCATCATCTAAAATTTCTTTAAAGATCAATTCCTTAACAACCAACCAAGCAATAGTAAAAAAGTCGCAAATTTGGAGGAAGAGGAGCACAAGTGTGACTGTTTACATTGCTAAAAACCTGCCCATGACAAGAAACTTAAGAAATCCTTACCCAATCAAGGGCTACATGCATCAAGAATTACCCCTTCTGCACTCAAATTACTAAGAACCTAACCATAAATATCATAAGCCGTCATCCATCAATTTCCAAGTTAGAAGTGATAAAGAACCAGAACTTGCTAAAATGATGACTTCAAGCAACTATCATTAGTATAAAGTAGAAATAGGAGTTCCTTCATTTGCATTGCAACTTGTAAGTTCTCAGTGTTGACAAATCTTTCAATAAATTCTTACTTTTTTACAGAGTTTATGATCATGCATTCATTCTACAGAAATCCAACTAATGAAATACACCCTTAAGAAAGATGAGGTTGTTATCTATCAATATTTCCCAGAAAATTTCAGAAAGCTGCAAAACAAACAGTTAAAAAGTTTATAATAATATTGCAATAACTCAATAAGGCACAGAAGACAAGCCAGAATAAGACCTTAAGAATGTTGACCCTTTCACCCAAAGCAAAAACTGCAGACCGATTCTTTAATGGCTCTTTTCCTCTGGAGAAAAGACTACTGCTTCTTGTCTCAACACCAATTAGATCACTAGATGTTGCTATATCCAATTGCAGTTTCTCTAATGCTTGAATATAAGCACGGAACTGTGCACTTAAAACCTGAATTTTAAAGACATAGGTGCATCAGTAATCATGAATAAAATGAACAATATGTGCAAGTGGCATTTGATAGGTATCCTATAGTTTCAATAATTTTCCACCTAACTCAATTCAACTGCATTTTACCCATTCTAGAACTACATGGAGAATAACAACAATGCTAATATTTCATCAATAATAATTACTAATGGAAATAAATATAATGAAGTAAGAAACAATTTTCATGTGATGAAACGTATTTCATAACCGATGACGGAAGAAGGCCATGGTCGTAAATATAGTATTTGTATTTCCTAGATGATGCATCATAAATGAGAAAAGCCAAGTTTGTATATTGGTGCAAGTCTTGAAACGTATTTTGATATATGGCCCAAAGGATTAATCTTATTTTTTGTGTCAATATAAGCTGCTCGAACCTCAAGGTATACCTCTGTAGAATGTATATACTGAAGTGTTTATATAAAAAGCTGATGAATAACAAACTGTACAAAGGAGCCTATATATACATACTAATAGCAGGACTTAGCCACTCGTTTGAATTTCAAAATGAGTAGCTAAGAGACATTTCCTAACAACCTTCTAACAACCTCCTTTACATAAATGATTTCATAAATGAGAAAAGCCAAGTTTGTATATTGGTGCGAGTCTTGAAACATATTTTGATATATGGCTCAAAGGATTAACCTTGTTCATTGTGTCAATATAAGCTGCTCGAACCTCAAGATATACCTCCTTTCCATGCTCCTTGAGGAAGGATATAATAAACCTGTGTAATTGATTCTGTGAGTACTTCAACTGACATTGCCATCGAAACCAAAGAATGAGAAAGCTCAGAGGAGAACAAAAAAGGGAAGCATCAGTGTGAATCATTATTCTAAAAATGAGAATACTGGTGACTGGTCTTGATTTTATCATTTGAAACAGGCAGACCAAAGTAGCTACTACACACTAAGAAAATTGTTGGGGGTTAGAATGGTGTATATTCCCATGCTCCCACCAGAAGGTTATGTTTAAGATTTTGGACACAATTAATGTATCGTGGAAACAAAAATTGGCAGATAACACTCTTCATATTTTTTTAAACACTTGATATAGCTCAAAAAAAGTTCCATAAGCAACTACCGTCAAAATTTTGTAACAGCTTGGTTTTACATTATTTTGTGGCAATACCAGAACATAGCAGATGTATTAAGAAGCACCACACTACAAACAGAAGCACGTAAACTGTAAACATTGATGAAAACTTAATTAGGTTCCAACCAGAAAACTTTGTTTACATTAGTGAAAGAACTTAATTAGGTTCCAACCAGAAAACTTTGTTTACATTAAAGAAACAACTCACTTATATTTCAAAAGAACACTCTGTTGAAGGATCTGGATATTTGTTTTTGGTTTCCTCAATGCATATAGCTTCTGAACCATGAAGTCAAACACCTTGGAACGACGAGGATGAAAATGGCATTATTTAGAATGGATATCTATAATACAATTCCAATGTACTGCCAATAAATTTGTCAGATGAATCAAAGAACGATTAAAAAAAAAAGTTCCTGAAAATTAAATTTACAATTTCAACTTGCAGGTATCTTTCCATTTCTCATGAACTAGCCATATTTCTCAAAGATCATACCCTTTTGTTGTACTGAACATAACTAAAATCATGTTTGAATTATAATTTTAATTAAATACATAAATAATTTCAAATTTTTGTTTTTTATACCTCTTATAACATTTTAATAAAACCATGGCTAGGGGAAGCATTAATATTCTCTCTTTTTTTTTTTGACAAGATAATGAACAAGACACATAATGACCTAACTGACCTAAGCAGGCACCATGAAATTCTATTACACAAACACTTGGACAGTATTCAGCACAAAGATTACTTCTGAAGTCCACAATGTTTACATGTTACTTTAAACATACTAACAACAGATGCAAAATTTGAAAGCCCAGACCTGAATATTTGATTTAATAGTTACCACTCCAACTATTCATAGCAGTTAACAACTATGAAATCTTGAATTTGTATCTCATACTCCTCAAGTGCTAATTTCCAAAGGGGACAAGAGGAAAGAACAAATAAGTTCTCCTTAGTGAGGTACTGCATTTTAATAGTGTATCTTAATATTGTCCCTTACCAATTCTTCGCTTTGTTTGAATTATGGATATCAAAAGCAAATATGTTCAAGTACAGTAGCACACTAGCACAGTGATCACAGAATATTCATGCATTGAAAGTAGTGAGATTTAGCTATTTTAACCTTAAAATGAAACTTTCAAATAGAAAATGACACAACATCACACAAGACTACATTCTCATAGCCTGCAAAATATAAAATACCTTTGATACTGCCTTCTGTCTTAGTTTCTCAAGTTCAGGTTGAACATCTTTTAGGGCTTTTGATGATTTAACAATTGGATCTCCTTCAGCAAACTTCAGCTTTTTACTCAGAATCTCCAAAGTTCTCATATATTCCTCATTTACCTACAGATGAAGCAATATATGAATAGTAATACAGAAATTGGTAAAACACCATTGTAGATTCGAAAAGTGAATAATCCAGCAAAGTGTAATAACATCCACTTTGAATCATTACATGCATTAGGAGGATGAGAGGGAAGGAACAAAGAAATAATTGAGTATTAAATACATGAAAGAAAGGCATCATATATGTACAACTTAACAGAAAACTGGAAAAGGCAAGTCTGTGAGAGAGAGGATGATACATTACAGATCCTGCTGCCCAACTAGTTCACACTACCTAAATATCAAATTAGTTATATTGTTTCCTTTACTAGTTTAGTTATATTGTTTCCTTTACTAGTTTAGTTATATTGTTTCCTTTACTAGTTTAGTTATATTTCCTTCATATTTAGTTTAGCAGTTTTAGAATATTATTTCCTTATATCTTTGGTTGTAACTCCTATATATATGGGAGAATATTAATTTGTCAAGTTAAGTTGGAAATTGAATAAAATCAAAAGGAAGTTTCTTCCTCCAACTTCTCCTCTCTTATTCTATATCCAGCCACCATAGGTAGACCACCTGCTTCCTCCGTTAATCATAGACCCGTGACGCGTAGTATATCTACTGAAACATATCAGAGGAGGGATGGATAAGGTGCATTAAGGAGTAGAATCGTCTCTTATGAATTTCTCTACCTCAGATGGCCAAGCCCCATAATTGGATTATAATCAACATTCAAACTAAAAATGAAGATGGAAGCTATGAGCTATCCAAATGGCACTAAATACTTGCTGTCATAACTCTCTCCTGCAATATAGCACTAGATTTTTTGTACTGTTTGATAGGTAAATAATTTATTAAGTGCGCCAAAGGGGTGTGCATACTCTTAACTACCTCATGACAAAGCATTTATCTCCAAAACAAAACACCACAACTATTTGTTATCCCAGAATATATTAAAGACTAAATTGCCAACAAAATCTCCCTCATTCAATTAACGAGACTTGAATTAACTTATTTACAGTTCCATTTTTTGTAATATTTAGTTTAGCATTAGTGTATAAAATTTATATACTTAGCATTAAAAGTACTATTAAACACAAAGGACAAATTTATAAACTATAAGAAAATAAGCAAAAAGGGAAGAGTTAGTTTGACCAATGAATAATAGTAAATAGAACAAGTAAAATGGGACTGTTATAAACTAAGATTGGGCTATAATGGAACAAGAGCTTGGACGTCACCAATACCATGTTATAAACTAAGATTGGGCTAGAATCACTCAATTGGGCTATAATGCACATGGATCAAACCACACTAAAAATTGAATCCAACCAATTAGCTAGTCTAACCCATGGCCTTATAAAGGCATATATTCTCTCTTATTTTTTCAATGTGGGACTTAACAGGGACAAAGGGAGTACTTGATATGATCCCCATATTTGCCACCTAAGCTTTCTAAAACAAAAAGGACAACAAATATACCAGACCCTAGTAACTACATCCATAAGAATCCCAAAAATGACTCTAACAATCACATAAACAAGGGAAAATAGGTGATGACTGACAAAGTAGAGTAGAACTTGTGTACAACAATGTTCAAAAGAATTGAAAACTAGATACTGATTTGAGGCTGGGTAGCTGGAAAAACTCTAGTTGGTTAGGCATCAAACAATGAAACATAGTGGTTGTGGAATACGTATGTATAGAACGTTTAGAGTGTATTGAACTAATGAACTAAACCTGTACAATAAGCCTATGTATACATTCTAACAGCAGGACTCAGCCACTCATTTGAATTTCAAAATGAGTAGCTGAGAGCTAATTCCTAACAACCTTAGCTTCTAACAGTGGCAATAATTTAAGGTGTCCCGACAGTTAATGAAAGAATGAAAGCAAATTGCAAGTATCCATTGCTATTGTGCTGCATGAATAGTTATACAAGTGGCTGAAGAGTAGAAAAGTAGAAGAGAAAGAAAGGAGGAGAAAGTCCCACTTACGAAGTACCAAATCCAAATATAAGTGTCTATTAAAGTAAGATGATAGACAAGTACTCAAACTCTCAAAGAGCAGAAAACAAACAAACTGAACTCATACATAACTGTAGAAGACTAGTATTTACACATTTATGTCTGTATAAAGCAACTAAACTACTAAAAAGAACGTTAAATACAAACAAATTACTGAATGAAGATTCTTTGACCAAAACTTTCATTTTATGAATTTTATAAACAATGCAAAACAGCCACTAAACAATTTTTTTTTAAAGGAAGCTAAATGCCTAAATCTGAACACGCCAGTATTAAAACTTAAATAACTAAAATAAAATACCCTTCTGGTTTATCTAGAAAGTGTTTCACCTCAATAGTCAATAGTTAAATGTAACTGAACACACAGTATTCAATTTAAGTTCATACACTTGCTTCTCCCAATCAGTTAATTGTAACTGCACATGCAGTATTCCATCTAACTGCATACACTGTCTTCTCTTTATATAACCAGCTGCAGCTACATCAATGCATTCACAATTAGAAAGAAGCCATAATGAAACCTAAAGTACCTCTCCATCAACAATAATGTCAATCATCCTTGGTGGAACAATAATATCTTCAACAAATTTTGACAATTTTGACTGTGCCACCTACAAGAGAAAAATAAGCCAAATTCTGTTAAGCATTCAGATCATAATGAAAATAAGATAAAAATAGAAATGAAGATAGTGCGAGACTACTTTATTTATAAACTCAATTACACACACACACACACACACCCAAAAAAAAAAAAAAAGTTAAAATGCACGATTATCAAAAAAAAAAATTATTGGTGCAAAAAAAAAAAATCCAAACCTTTGCAGGTTGTGATAATTCTGGCCAAACCTTTTAAAGTTGATAATGAATACCAAAACTTGACACATTGATGCAATTTTCCACTTGATCTAAATAAAATCTTATACAACTTGAATTGGTTTATAATTTTATAAAAGAATCAATCAAATTCTTTAAAGAACTCCATTTATTTTATCATTGAACACTAATTTTATTTATAAAAAAAAATAAAAAATAATAATAACAAAAAATAAAAAATAAAAAATAAAAAATAAAAAATAAAACAAACAAACAAACAAACAAGCAATTAGTTTCATGTATAATAATCATTTATTCTTGTTGCGTAGGCTATACTATACTCCCTTTGCCACGAAATGAATGTCTTAGTTGCCTTTGGCATGCTTTTTAAGGGAACAACTAAAATGCAGCCTCCTTTCCAGTTTTACCCCTCCATTAAAATGCATGAAAAGCTTCCTTAAATGGTCTTCATCTAGATGTTAGATACCTAATTTACAGATATTCGAAAGTGAACTCTCATAGAAAACAATAATTAAATTCTTACTAGCTTCTATTCGAATGAGATGAATTGAAAATGTGCAGGAAGAAGAAAAGGTTTCATATAAATAGTAAGAAAACACAACCTTTACAACGCAATAATGATGACAATTCTTGAATTTCAAAAAAGAATGTAATGGATTAGTAATATCCTTTAAATAAATAAATAAAGAAGGTAGAATGAGTAGAAGGGCTATGAACCAGACAATGAACTGGGAAAGTCAGAGTGAATTTTGCAAAGAAATAATCAGAGAAACATTGAAAGATTTCAATCTCTGATTTTTACTATGTCTAACCTTACAGAACCTTTAATTAAAGAAGAAAGTTGTTCTTGAATCGGCATCGTCACCAGAAAATAAACTATTTACTGCACTTATGGTGGTGTATTGTTTGGCAATGGTGTAGAGAATTAATTGAGCTTTCTTGATACCAAGCAAAAGAATAGTAAAAGAAAAGGAAGCTGCTAGAGATGGGATTCACAGAGATTAGAAAGCAGAAAGAGCTCACTTGCCAATAAAATTTATAAGTATATTGAATTAAAATTTTGAAGTCCATGAGGTAGTTTGGGAAAAAACATTATAATAGTAGTGCTTATTTTAAGAAAGGGGACAGTATTTTGGGACGAACTAAAATGGAAAGTAAAACAAATAAACTAGGACAGAGGGGGGTGTAGTAATTTTACTATAGTTTGTATGCAATATTTCAATATTAACCATGACTTGAGAAAGAATATTAATCATCTCTCTCATGCATGGCTAGCATATAAATCAATTGAAGTCATATCAATACTTTTTGGATTGGATTAAAAACATCGGCTAGAATTGCACTATTGTGTCAAGTTTTGGTATTAAATTACCAACTTTAAAAGGTTTGTCCATAATTGTTACAACCCACAAAGGTTTGGATTTCACCAATAAGATAAAAGCACAAAAAATTATGAAAATCTTTTCCATATCTATAGATATTAATACATGAATAAAATGCATAGGCATAGAAAGTGCAGTTTCTCTTTGCAATCCCTATTTTTACTTCGCTTCATGTTTTTCATTATCATAATCTTTTATAGCAGCCTATCTGTACATCCAATTTATAGTAGAAACAAATTGAATAAGAGGAAAAAGAAAATTTGGGAGACTCGTTGAGGTTTGCTTCAGTTTTATTTCTTAGATTTTGAATATTTGTACAATCAGTATCAAGAAGCTGGTTTTTCAATCAAATAGAAGAACCAAGCAGTGATGCTTAACACTGAAGAAGGCATCAAAAGTGACATAAAAGATGGTATAAAGCGGAAAGAGAGAAAGGGAAAGTGTGGCAGCTAGGAGAAAAGATTAAAACTGCAATCCGATTTAGTTTCTGGGTCCACCCAATACAGTCACATGGGTTATTTTTAACATTCAATTGTTGTGCCTTTCATGTTTCATCTTGATACAATAGCAATTCATCATAGTAACGTCCCACCACATTTATAAAATTAAAAAATTAAAAAATTAAATAAATAAAAAAATAAAGGATCATAAAACCTTGGGCAACTGATGATATATTAACCAGCATAATATTCCTATTGCAGGAGAGCAAGCAGTTACACCATACTTAAAGACAATGAGGGAAAAATTTCAGTGCAGATACTTATGGGCTGTAGAATTATGGCTGGTCAAAAATTAAGCACTGACAGTATTCAATTATGGAAGTATTACCTTGCGATTCTTCAGCTTCAGTCCCATATCCATAGACTTCTCTTGAAGGATTTTAATGTCTGAGCTTATAGAACCTATTTCTGTCTGGAAAATTGAAAGTAATGCTGATAATTATAATGATGATTCAAAATGAATAGGTTTTCTGTCCGGTACCAAATCTTTTACTGATTTATTCAACCAAATTAATTCGTAATTAATTATACAAGATCATCGTGATTTTCGTGATACAATAAATATTTCACGATTAGAAATTCTTATCCTTCATCTAATTTTACATGTGATTATTTACTCACTCCACAACTCAAAATAATCACATGAATGTTAGATCACATGCACATAATTCATGAAAATTATTTTCTCTATAAATTTTCCAACACAATTTGCTAGCATTACACTAAAGCTATTATAGCCTTCCATCTGCATTCAATCATTCAATTCATGCATTAAGTATCAAGAGGATTATACATATGGGTAGCATTCACAAACTCTGTACTTATTTCTGTTGCATTCTTCCATTTATTTAGTACTAAAGAAAGAAGTAAACTCAGCATGCAACATTTCTAAATCTCTAGAATCACTAAAAACAATTATCTTCAGTCACAACTTACTGTAAGAAAGATAAAGTACCTGAAATCCACTAAGTAGAGCTTCCATTTGTGAAAGAATAATATCGCAGCCACGAATTTGATCATGAAGTGAGACTAGGTTGTCACTTTCTTTTATGTAATCCTGTCATTGGAAAAAGAAGCCCATAACATAGCATTACCAGTTACAAAAGGCATTCATATGCAACTCATTCATCACATCGTAGACATCGACAATCACCAAAATATATCAAAGATGTTATATTGGGTGAAATCACAGCCTAACTAAGTACAACTATTGAAGATCATAAAAAGAAGAGGTGTTGTGTAAAGAAAACAATAATATACTTCTAGCCTTTTTCTAGTAAGATCCTTCCATGAATTTTACATGGTAAGAAAATACATAATATTAACAACTTAAACACAATGCAACTTGAAAACCCCAACAAAAGAAAAAGAAAATGGCCAGAAGGGGGTAATGGGGGAAAAAGACTGAAATGTGAAAGTAGAGAGATGTATTTCCCAAAATGTGAATTCCATTTTTTGTGGACAAAAATATGAAAAAGAGGTTTGGGACATGCGTTTGATGTCAGAAGTGGGTCAAATGGGACTTGCGTTTGTGGTTTTTTTTTTTTTTTTTTTTTTTTTTTTTAAATTTGGTCGCCGGCGACACCCTTCTCCAGCGAAGGAGAAGGCCACCGCCACTGGTTGCCTTCTCCTTCGCTGGAGAAGCCAGCAATTTGGGTCACCGGTTTCTCCAGCGAAGGAGAAGGCCACCGCCACGGGTTGCCTTCTCCTTCGCTGGAAAAGGGTGTCGCTGGCAGCTTCGCCGCGCCGGCAACCAAATTAAAAAAAAAATAAAAAACACACACACACACACACAAACGCAAGTGGGACTTGCGTTTGTGGTTTGACCACTTCTGACATTAAACGCATGTCCCAAACTTCTTTTTCATATTTTTGTCCACAAAAATAGACATTCACATTTTGGGAAATACAAGCTTCTACCTTCACATTTCAGTCTTTTTCCCAATGCACAAGGAATGTAACAAACCTGGATAGAGTCCAGTTCAACCTGCCGTAAATTGTTTTCAACTCCCTTTGTGTATTCCCGCAATTTCATGCCTTTCATCAGTATGTTTGCGACTACCTTTCACACAAACAATCAAATTTAAACAACAGCACATTATCCCAAAGAGTGGGAAACTATATGTACTTGGAAACAGAAGGGAAAACTCAAGATAAATTTGACCCCAGATGGCATAATACACTACTTACATCATCACTTTTACACTCCTCTAGTTCTTCCTCTAACCCTTCAAGTGATATACCCTCACTGCACAGCACGATTAAAGCAATGATATTTCCTCTAAATTACAAAATCATAAATTGCTGCCATTCAGAATTCACAGATCAACATTTAGATAAAATAAGAAACGAAGATTAAAACCTTGTTGCGTCATCCTCTACATTCAAATCCGCAACATACGACCCCAATTCCAGGAATGATCTCTGCCCGTCATTCCCTTCACCCTAGACGGATAAACATAGGCATAATATGATGCATTATGCAGTAAGTATATATGCTTGAAGCTCGAATGAGTAAATAACGTACCACATCGGGTGTCGCCACTTCACTCATTTTCAAAATTCTGACAGCTTTTCGAAGATCTACAGAACAGAATGGATGAAGGTAAACTGCTGATCGGATATAATGAATTGGACTAAGGGAACAAAAACAGCAACCTAGAGGACTGGAATATAATTATTAAGAGTGGTTAATTCAGTTATTTGTGAATTTCCCTTTTTATCCCTGACAGTTGCACAGTTGTCCACTTGACCCACCTGCGGAAAATTATTGTGTGGACCACGGTCCAAAACGACGTCATTGAATATTATAAGTTACAATAATGTATTTTATGAGTTAAAATAATATATTTTATGTGTTAGAATAATGTACTTTATATGTTAAAATAATGTATTTTATGTGTTATAATAATGAAACTTTTCAGGTAAGATAATGTATTTTATGAGTTATAATAATGTACTTTATGCGTTCGAATAATTTATATTATGCTTTAAAATAATGTATATTATGAATTATAAAAATGTATGTTGTAGTAGGTCGCGTGAAAAAATAATAATAATAATAATAATAATAATAATAATAAAATTGTTCGAAACAACGTCGTTTTTGAATCGTGGTCCACACAATGTGAACTACGGTTCACGCAATAACTATTGGGGAGAACATTGTGGATGCACTTAGAAAACATTATTATAGTATGAGAAAATTGCACTTTTCCCCCTGAGTTATATGTTTATAGCACTTTTTTCCCCTGAGTTATTTATGCATTCACATTTGCCCCCTCAATTATTATAAAAGTGGCAATTTTTCCTCCCTGATATATTAAATGAACATTTCTACCCTTAAACTAAATATTTTATTTATTTTTTATTCTTCAACAAATTATTGCTTATACGTAGCGATAACCACGGTTAGGTTCAAATTGAACCAGACACTATAGCAATCAAATCGAAATTTTTTTGTTATGATTCAGAACTAGAACCCAATATTTGGGTTTCTGTTTATTAAAATCGTGAACTGGAAAAAAATGGATCATGAACCTTGAATTGAAAATAAAAAATGAATCACGATTTCGGATCCAATTTTGAACTGTTGGTTCAAATTTTCTCTTTAAAAAAAATTAAAATTCAACAATTAATGTATTTTATTTTTTCAATTCAGAACATGAACTGCCAGTTTCAATTCGCAATTTTAATAAATTTTAAATATCATATTCTGATTCTAAATTTTCATCATAACATTTCTGTTTGGTTGTTATAGTGTCTGTTCGGTTTGAACCAAATTGTGATTATAATTTGTTGGAGAAGAAAAATAAATGAAATATTTATTTTAATGGTAAATATGTCCATTTAATATATCGAAGAAAAAATACCACTTAAACAATTCAGAGAGAAAAAGTGATTAAGTATATAATATAGGAAAAAAAGTGTCATTTTCCCTTTTAGTATTATAAAGCTATAGTAAAAAAAATGTTTTTTTAGAACAAATAATTAATTCATTAAATCTTCAGAGTTTACCAGAAAAATGAGATGAGTATTTAGCCACTCTCCAGAACCTTACATTGAAACAACCTCCCTAGTAATAGTATGGGCGGCACGATTCGCAGATCCTTAACAAACTTCTCAACATCTTATCTTACTATATAAAAAAATCACACCCCTTGGAAAAATAAATTTGGTAAATAATTCTCGCCTAAATAAAACGACCGCGTTTTGTAATAAGTAAGTGGTAAAACGATTTTGGCCTCTCATTTATAGCTATTTTTTGGGAATTGTCACTTTAGTGGTTCAATGTAATCTTTAATATTTGAATAGAAATGAATAGACGTCTGGCTTTTTGATCTTCAACCCTTGGTTATCCTATTGATTAGGATTTATTGTTTAATTAATTTGTTCACACAGTTTAGAATTGTGTCTCTTTGTTATCCGAAAAAAATAGCATTAAATCACATATCTCTTCAATGTCTCCAAACACAGCTATAAAAATACATTCTAACTTTACAGTTCCAAAAACAGCACAACAGCCATGGCACCTCTCTTCACTACGGCAACTGATTTATTCCCTATGAGAACAATTCAAGCAGTGCTATCAAGGTAAGTGTGTGCGTAAGTATGATATATATCCATGATAGGAAGGGCAGTGAAAGCATAAAGTGTAAGGAGTGTGTTTTTCATGGCAAAAGAAGTATGCATGTATATATGTAATATGTGTATTAGTGTATAATACCCACGGAGTACAACATGTATAAATTTGTGTTCTATCTATTCTAATTCTAAATACTATTGCAGGGATTATGCTTTTTGCATGCTCATACTTAGTCTTTCCGGTGAACAAATTCTTCTTTGGAGTGTGAATACAATAACAAGATCATCTTATGGGAACATATTTGATGAATTCACCAATGGGTCAATGGTGAATTGGTGATCAGTACCATTTATGATGTTTATGAGAGGAGACGAGTAATTGTCATTTTTTTTTGAAAGAAAAGTAACTGTATTCCTTCTATGGGATAGAGACCGCAACGAACTAATAGGCATGACAGCAATGCAGCTGACGGAAAAATATCTGGAGGTATGTATTAAATCTATTTTCCAGGTTTAATGATTAACTTATTCTCTGTATATGTCTATTGTTTAGTTAACAAAGGAACTGTCAACAGAAATTTAAGCATTACGTGGTATTGCAATGGTTTTCAAGATTGCTTTAGCATTTTTTTTTCTTATTACCTTATGAATGTGTATATTGTTTAGTCTTTATTATTCTCTCTGTTATGTTGATGCAGGAACTAAGCATGTTTTCAGTTACAGGTCATTCTACAAAGCAGCAATAGTCAACTATGCTTAGAGCTTTTTGGTTCCAAAGTTTATTGTGTATTGTATTAATATCGTTAGGTTATTGAGCATGAAACAGATTATGATTTATGTAAATTAAATTGTAAACTTCTTTTTTTTTTTTGTTTTGAGAAGTAATTCCTTTCGTTTCTTCACTTAGAGATACCATCCTATATTGTAAAATCATTCTTATGTAGTCTTATTATAAATCATATATTGTAATCTGGTGTAAAATTTTTAATAAATATTTAGTTCGTGCAAGTAGTTTATTTGTTAAATAAACTTTGATTAAAATAAATTGACTAATAGTACTATCATTCAATACCAAATGCAGAACAATTCAATTTCAATTTAATGCCTTTGTAAATATTCAATATTAACATAACCTAATTAAGTTATATTTGGGATGATGAGTTTGGTATTTTTGTTTAGTATTGCCCTTATTTAATTTCAAATTTTATTATATTTATTTATTGTTTATCTTTTTATTTAGGAATTTTTGTAGGGAAATGAAGATGTGAATGACAGTGATGAGTTTTCATTAACACAGAGCTCAAAAAAGTATAAGAAGTCTGTTGTTGAAGTTGACAAAGTGAAGCATTTGTGAACTTTTAGGTTTTGTTTTTAAACATTGATCAGTTTTGATGTGCTTTTAGACACCTTATGCTTATTATATATATATATATATATATATATATATATATATATATATATATATATATATATAAAGATAAGTATAGAGATTAGTATAGAGATTAGTTATATGGTCAAAAATTGCATCAATACCAAATTATACTTACTGATTTCTTAAAGTAACAAATTATTACGACAAATTGTTCTTGATCAAATCTTATGAAACCTGAAAATATTATTTGAGTCAAATATGAATTAAGAAAATTAAATAATATTAACATTCATTTAAGTTTAACTCCAAACCACATACATATTGTGATATGTTATGTATAGTTTATTATTATCATATATCCATTCCATTTTTGTTTATTACAATTTACAATAACAATATAAATTAAAATTTTATTTATAGACCGTGCATCACACGGGTACAATGCTAGTCATTAATCATAGATGCTAGTTTTTTAAAATATTTTTCTAACAAATTATTTATTAAGTTTAAAATATTTGAAAAGTTTCACTTAAATATATATGCCCTAAATTACTTAAATACCTTTTGTTTGACCCTGTAGACAGTAGACCTGTAACCTCCACCGCCGGGCTCCTCTCGCCTCCGCCCCTCACTCAGTATATTCTGCTTGCCTCAGTAGCGAGTATCAACGAAGCCCTAGGGTTTCTGTCTGATTTCATACATTCAAGTTCTGATTGCTTTCGGAGAAATTCGAGGTTAGATTCCTTTAGTCTTTTTTGTTTAATGCTCGTTTTCTTATTTTCATTCTTGTATTTCGTATAACGAAAAACATTACTCCGTCACTTGTGTTATTTTTCCTGCAAATTAATTGATTCTAATCTAGTTTCTTAGTGTAAAGAAAAAACTTCAATTCTATGTTTATTTTCCAGCAAATTAATTTAGCATTTATTTGAATATGAGCTTGGATGAAAGATCTCTTTTTGGGCACCATCATATTATCCTTTTGGGTTAAGAAAACAGATATTTGAATGAAATTAAGTCTAAATTTCTAACGGAAAAATGAATGCAACAAGATATGATCAAAGAATTGAAAAATTTATACAAAACCTGGAAAGGAGAGTACTTGAGGCTTCTATATGTATAAGAAATTTCAAAATTTTTCTATGGATTGTTAATTGAGATGGAAGTTCTGTTGCATTTTAAGGGTTCATATAAATTTCAAATTTTCATAATACAGTTTTCATTGATGTCAAGCCTTTGTTTTTTTCCCAAAATACGTGAACAAGGGTTCATACCCTGGTTCCCTATTACAAACATTTGAAACTTTGAATTCTTGCAAGGATCATAAATCTCATTCAAACCCCATTTGAGGTAGATCTGCTTCAAGCGTTCTTCTCCTTACCAGAAAATCTTTGACAGAATGTAAAAACTGAGTTCATCCTCTTAAATAGGAAACATTGACCACTCCTGTTAATTTGCAATTTTATAATGTCTTCAAATGTCTGTACTAAACTTCTATGAACAGAAATGTGACAAGGAAACATAATGATTTACTTTGTTGTGCCTCTCCTTCTCATAAATTGTTATCATTTCTTAAAACTAATTGCCTGTCACCTGTCATACCATTGATATTAGGGGACATTATTTAAAGTGTGCATTTCACCTATATGAAGGGGTTTGTTTTTTTTTTTTTTTTAAGTTAGGTACTTATTGGTTAATAGTATGTCTTATTTATACATGTTCTTTTAACAATGTTTGGCAATGTGCTTTGCTTTATAGGGTTACCTCAATGGCTGAATTGACTGCACAAGCTCAGCCAGTTCACAGTTGAGTACTTAATACCCTGACTCTCATCTCTCTCTGTATTTCTCCTCTTGATCCAAATTGCTGGCTATGAACTACCATATGGTGCCCTCTCTCACACATTGTGGCCAATTTTATATCCATGTTTGTTTCCATGTTTTCCTGTGGGTTAAAATTCTTAGTTTTGATGCTTTAGACAACATTTAGCTGGGTGCTTTTGCTGATAAGTGCTCACTAGTTACACTGTAATTCAAGTGCTTGTGATTACAGTGTGTTAAAATGTCATATTATTTTATTCCAAACTCGTTACACATCATTCTATGATGATGCATTTGGAGCTTTTCATGGTCTGTTGCAGGCTTGTTACACATCAAACTTGTTACACATCATTCCAAACTTGTTATCTTTCTCTATCTATTGAAATTGAAGGCTTCATATATAGCTTTGGAAGTCTTAAGTAGCTGCAAAAGCTTTGTGATCAATAGCATGGGGCTTGAATTTGCATACAGTTTGATGAAATGTTCTGCATTACAATTCAGGTACATTAGAAAACAAAGATGGTATTAGAACTGGGTCCAACCAAGAAGTTGCACATAATCATACATCAGAGACACATCCTGAAGAAACTGGTATGAAAAAACACTTAAAGACTTTAGTTTTCATAATTTTTGCTTTCTCTTTATTCATGACTTGATCAAGGGAATCCCTTTTTCCCCTTCTATTTTGTCTGTGAAGGGCTGAATGCAATCTAATGTTAATCTTTACCATGATCATTGATCCCAGAACGGAAGGCTAGGGTAGATGCTGTTTGGCAGCAAATGAACAAAGGAGTGCCTTTGAAAACTCTTAATTCCATATTACAGAAACATAGTGCACCTCTCAAATCAAGTCCCGTTAAGAGTTCAAAGGCATCTTCTGTGAGTAGTAGGACATCTCTGTTCTATAGAAAATTGAAGAAGTCCTTTTAGCTTGAGCTAGTTTTGAATTTTAATGTGCTTTTGTAGAATTGGATGACAGTACTAGGATTGGCACCAAAAAAGGCATCATCCCCTGTCCAAAGTGCACCCGAGAAGCACCCTACGATAACACATTCAGAGACCAGTGAAGATGCAAAGAAGCTGGCTGCTGCTGCTCTTTCCGCTGTTAAGGATGCTGCTATTACTGCAGCTGCATCTTCCAACAGGGGCAAAATTGAGGTGACGTTGCAAGCTTAGTTTCATATATTGAAAGATTTGTCACTTAACTGAATCTTTTAGGGTCAAGTTTTTGATGTACTTTCAAATTTCAATAAAATGACTTCTCTACGATTCTCAGGAAAATTTACAAGATTGAAAACACACCTTTTTAAACATACTATGAATGTGTTTATTGCTTTGAAGGTTTCCGAAGTTCGGGACTTTGCTGGAGAAGAAATTGAAGTAAAGAAGTATATTGATGCGAGCTCAAAAGAGGGATCGAATAAAGGGAAAGCTCAGGCAGGACCAGCTTCTGCTGTTGATGCTGTTCTTGAACAAATTAGGAAGAAACAGAAGCTTAGCGTACTAGATAAGACAAAGAAGGACTGGGTAGAGTACAAGGGAGATAACAAAGGTGTTGAAGAAGAGCTGGATGCTTACAAAAAGAGCTCGAATCAGTATCTAGACAAGGTCTCTTTCTTGGAGCGTGCAGATTACCGAGAATTTGAGCGGGAGAGAGATGCTCGGCTCGCTATGCAGGCCAAGAGGAGACCAGATATGCGAGAGGACTTCTGAAGGATCACATCACTGTGAAATTAAACTACAACAACAACAAAGGGGGGAAACATCTGTGTTTCTGGCCATTTGCTCTCTTCTATTTAGATCTTCTTGTGGGCAAAGTTGTATTCTCCCATTGGTATTGGGAAGGAAGATGTTAAAAACAAAAATGAGTAAATCATGAAACCTTCCATGTTAGGTTTTCAATACTCTCTCTTCCCTGGAGCTATAAGTTACTACTGATGATTGTTGATTTACTTTTTATCTTCACTTGAAATTGATAGAATTGTATAGCTCCATCCTTCTAATGCCATGTTTGGAATTATTGCACTCCTATCAACTCCAATTTAAACATTTATAATTTTTGTTTTGTACAGAGGAAATACAAAATAAATTTATAAATATCTAGCCCATTGGAATTAGGAAAATGTTATTTACCCCTCTTAAATTTCCCTTAATAGTTTACCTCCATGATGTAGTTTATATTCATTGGGTGACATGAATTGGTTGACTTTACACTTTTAACTAAATGCTAAATAGTCCAATTAAATTGTGCCATATAAGGAGGGAAAATTAGAAGGGAAGTTTTTAGGAGGGGTACCTAACATTACTCTTGAGTTATTCGTTTGTTTTTTTTTTTTTTTTTTTTTGAATGTTACTGGCCCTATTACATTGTAGTATCTGTTCATATACTTTCTCAACCTACTGAAACACAAAGAACCAATAACACCTCCACTGAGGCTCGAACTCGTAACCTTCCAAATGGAAGTCCAACCCGGGTACCATTAGACCACATAATCTTGGTGAGTTATTCGTTTGTTACTTTAACTAGATATACGTCTTTTTTTTTTTTGAAACAAACTAGATATAAGTTCTGCAATAGTTATATCATAGACTAGGGTATATGTTGCCAGTTGCTACATGCATCCAACACATTTATATTTTTTTTAAACGAAATATTTAAACTTAGATTGATTTTTTTTTTTTTTTGTGAAACACATATTCTTGTAGTATTGTTCATTTGTTATATACTCAATCTGTGAACCCTCATTTGCAATGGTAACATAAGTACCATCCCACAGTAGTTAGCAATTGATTTTTCTCTTTAATTGCATTCAACATATATTGTTATATTTTTATTCTATGAAGAAATCTTTTGTGCATTATCTTTGGTTTCGCCTAACAATTTTTATTCCAAAAAAAAAAAAAAAAAAGATTCCCTTTGTACATAAGAATATACCGTCTATTTTAATTTGATTCATAAGAAAAAGTGACATGATTTCTTTTAGAAAAAGTGCTATTAATATTGGAATGTTTTAACTCGCACAAATCCAACCAAACAAACTTCAACTTTTAGATATGTTAAGTATTTGTCCACTACTCATAATATTATTTTTGTGTTACAATTTAGATAACTGATGTTCATAAACTTTATAGATAGCACTCAGAAGTTTGAGTTATAAATTTATAATGACTGCCACTTGGCAGTATATGGAAGATTGGCAAACAAGATAGCAAAACTCAACAAAAAATTGTACAATATATATTTGATCAACAAGAAGTTGAATGAAAATGTGTAAATCATGAACTCAATTATAAGGCCAGGATGATAATAGTGATGCTACAGCTAGACAGTAAAAAAATCCAGGAAGAATCCTTAGAACAAAATTTCCTGGAATTCTCAGACCTATAAATGCTCAACACTAAATCTATAAACACCCTTAAAACTGCTAACACTCCAAATATTAAACATACTAGAAAAATGATAATTCCTTTACTTTCCATATATACTTGTCTCTGCTGAACCTCTTCCACCTTCAACCTGCATTTTAGAACACTGGTTAAAAGCAGATTCGACAACCAATACTAGATATTAACAGCGAAAAGACAAATGTAGATCACTACAATTCGAAGCAAAACCAAATCCATTATTCATCAAGTATATTACTTTAATTTGTCTTTACAATAACAGAAGAAAATCCAGTGCATGTTGAATGGAGACCCTTCTTTGAAAAATTAACCAACTTTTTCAATGATCAAATACTTCCTGCTTCTAGGAGAGATTTAAATTCGTCCAACAATAAAATTTCCTTAAAAGCACTCATAAGAGAGAGGGAGAGAAAGATAAGTGGTGGTGTGTGTGTGTGTGTGTGGGGGGGGGGGGGGGGGGGGGGGGTGGGAATACGAGTATGGTTCAACAAGTGCACAACTAAGTGGTGTGTATATCATTTAAAGTGAAGAGCTCAAACCTGAGATTAGAATTGTCAATTATTATCTGTTCCAGCTGCATGGAAATAAGGGATTTCCAAGAAATGAGATCATTGACCTCCTTACTCTGCAAGAAACATTAGGTTATGAGTATACTAAAACTATTCAGCCGATATTGAAAATGGTTGAATGGAATCATGGTAGCAAATTCACATACCATGGCATCCCTGCTCTTGGATAAACTCTTTATGTCTGATGTGATCTTCTCAAGAATGGAGTCTTTATCTAATATTTCTTTGTCAAATTCTGTAAAAATCTTTCCGTATCTAGAATTCAGCTCTTCCAGATACCGCTCTAGGACAGATAAATTGATATCAAGGGATTGAACTTTTTTCATTAGAATTTTCAGAACACTATCTCCAGGCATCCGGTTTACTTGCAGATGGTTAATTTCCTCATCAGGCACGTTAGCTGTTATCACTTCATGCTTGACATCAGAGTGTTCAAGTTCAGGGTCAGTTTCGGAATTATGACCATCTTCAGCCAATGAGTGCTGGGTGGTCATAGGTTTCTGCTCACTGTTTCTTTGATCAGATGCAAACTTCTTCTCCGGAACAGAGATAAGATCCTCAAGCATCTTCTCTACAGCATCAACTCCATACACTTCCAGAACACTTAATGTACAGTAGAACTCTGAGCCGTAATGATTAAGAAGATTCAGTTTCATATACCTCACCCATTTTGGCTCTGGAAGTACAAACCTTTGAGCATGTTTGACATTCCCAGCAGTAAAATTACCAAGTTTGACCCACGTATCAGTTGGATAAACAGGACTACCGAGGAGTTCAAAATCCTTCAGAGTGGATGAGTAGTGTTCAAAATTTCCTATTTCAACTGTGTCCACTAAAGTTTCTTCCGAGAGTTCAATCACAACATATTTTTCCTCAGCAGAACAAGGATTTCTAAGGTATTTGTCCTTATCTCTGCTCAATATGTTGGAAGCACCTTTGGCTTCTTTGTTGTGAGCCAAGACCTTGGCCCCTTTGGAAGCAGAAGCATAATTGTACTCTGCCCCTCCTGGTTCCACCCTATGAGTAATGCTACCGGCCTGATCATTTAGATCTTCTACTTTGGTATTCAATGCTTTGTTCCTGAACTCACCAAGACTTAAAGTGATTGACTGAGAAAATCTATCAGACTTGAAATCCTTTTCTGAATTTCCAGTTGAACCTGATTTCCCCGTGTCAGCTTGCTCTTCAATTGCGGGGGCTGAGGTTAAGTTCTTTGAAGACTCCAGTGGTTCACTGGGAATGTCCCGAGTTTCTTTGGCATGTTCAAGTGAAGCATTGTCCGTCTCTTCAGAGTTGATTCTCTCTGATGGATTAGAATGAATTCCTCTGTCGAACATAAGTTCATATTCATCCCAATGCTGAGTACTAAAGTGATATCCTCCGCATCCATCTAGCTCCACCAAAAGACACACGCAAACCACAATTAATCACAAGAAGAGATTATGGACATAAGACCAAACTTAGCTACATAAAAGTAATTTCAACGATGTGGATAGTAAAGAAAATGAAGGTAATAGAAAAGTGCTTATTCTTTGTTACAATACTAAATCGATAAAGTAAACATACACAATTGAAACTAAAAACCCTAGAAAATGTTTTTTTTTTCATGTGTTCCCTAACTCATTTAAAACAAGGAAAGATACCAACCTTTGTCAACACCCCCATGGCCAATCCACAAATTTAAAAGGAAGACAAATCCCCATAGAACAAGAACCAGTAGAGAAACACTGGATAAAAGATTTTTCCCCGAGATTGATTTCTCCAAAGATCTTCTTTGTAGAAGATCCTTACGAGATCTCTGCATTGCACATCAATCCAATCTGCTGTAGATCACCAAAGAAAAGTTGCAATGTAAGCAATTAAAATATCCTGCAGCCACACACCAAAAAAAAAAAAAAGTTTAATTATAAAGTCAATACACTTGTGTATGTAATATAGAAGAAACACACATCATATCTGCACAATAAAAGACAAACTCTAAGAACAAATAAAAACCATTAAAATGTCTGAGTGCCATTTGTCTGTAAACTAATTTTTAAATTAAAACCTGTGTGAGAGGAAAAGGAAAAAAGAACTACACATCCATATACAATTTAAGGAAGAAAACATAAAAATTGAATACTCCAAATTTATATGCACAAGATCTATGGACTAAAAGAAACTCACCTAAAATAAAATCATCACAAAAGCATACAAATCATCAGAAACACATAATACAATACAATAGGAAATTTTCTTCAACAACTCACCTAAAATAAAATTAAAGCACATAATCATTTCTGGAAACATAAAAATTGAATCAAAAACAGGAAAAAAGCTCAAAAATTGACATTAAGGGAATAAAGAAAAAACAAAGGATTTGAACCATGACTAGATCAACTACCAGAATACAAGAATTAAACAATCGATCATCATGGCAAATGCGAGAAAAGTAACTACATAGAATAATGAAAAAAATTTCACCTGAAATTCAATCAGAAAAAAAAACTGAATTCAGAATTGGCCAGCCAACCAATTCAAATTCAATACGACGGTTTTTCTAATTTCTTCTCATTTCTTTGTACCTGTTCATTTAATTAAAAATAAACTGTTTACCGACATCGCTCTCTGGCGTTGCTAACGGCTCTGCTGGCATCCGCTGTTGCTTTTTAAACCTTCAACTCTCTCTCTCTCTCTCTCTCTCTCTCTCTCTCTGCGACTCCGCGTTGATTCTTGAAAGACTAGAGAATTTTGGAAATATTACGGAGTATGTATTTTTCCATTTTGGTATTCATTATGAAAAATGAAAAAGTTTCCATTTATTAAATATTTTACTTATATTGCTTATGAAATATGTTATAATTATAAATAAATTAATTAATAAGCCTGATCTAAAATTCTGAATCTATAATTATATTAATAATTTGTTTACCAACTATTTTTAACGATTGGGTTTAAATAATTAACATTTTGATGGTTAAAAAAAAAATAAGATGTTGATAAGAACTCTAAAGCAAATACTAATTTATTTGACTTTAAATTTGTAGTGATGACGCTGCTTTGTCCAGCATGGAGGACTCTGATTAGGCCACATGGGAATGCAGTACGTGTCCCTT